TATCTACATTTAGTATGATTGACTAGTAATAACTATTATATATACTGATTTACATAATAGAACTCTTGTAAAATCAGAGTCTGAAGTTGGAGTGATTTATACAAAAAATTTGTATTATTTTTATGTAGATAACTTATTCTTAAATTTATTAAGATCATAGATCTATGTATTATTATCAAAAAGATATAAAAAAGGAAAATATGATTTCATTCTTATACTTATATTTCCATATGAATTTACTTTTATAGACAAATCCATGCAAGCATCCAATAATATTCATGCGAGATGTAGAGTTCGAACACCTACAGTCACTTTTGGAGTTCATGTATGCTGGGGAAGTTAACATATCTCAAGCTGAATTGCCTACATTTCTACGAACTGCTGAGTCTCTGCAAATCCGTGGCCTCACCGACTCTCAAAATATTCAGCACAACAACGAAAAGGTTTGTAGATTAGAAAGATGATAAAGATAAACTTTTAGTTTATGATAATTCATATTTTAATACTTTCAAGGTTTCTGGGTAATGTTATATATAAAATTATTTGAATAATTTCATCATCAATTGAGACACATATTTGGAGAGCTTAAATGTATTTGAATCAATGTAAAAGATAAAAGTTATGCTAGATGGTTGAATTTGTTGCTTTCAATTATATGATTGTTGTAAAAAATTGGTTATAATGTGCTAATTTCGTTTCAATTCGATAATTTCAGCATTTGAAAACAAACAACATACATACATCAAATGGCCGTGGGTTGATCTCACCAAGTTTGGAGGAGGACCGTAGCAAAACACCACCAGCCTCAAGTCCTCCACCATTGAAAAGGCTGTGCAAACGAAGTGATTCGCCTCAGATATCTAGTCCAGTACCAGCTGCAGTGGCCTGTGCTCCTGGAACGCCACGCACACGGCCATTAATTGAGCCACAAGTTCAACTCGACTGCTACAAAGATCTCGATATTGTTGAGGTTAGTTTTATTTCAATCATTTTGGGATAAAAATTATGTTCCAAAGTGGCTAATCACCAGTGGTTTACATAAGAGATTTGAAATCTCCTTATTCATCTTAGTGATAGTGTACCATAATGTATCTTTTGTACCATTAATGTATTTTTTGTACTATTTTTTTTTAAATTGATCATTCCAATTCATCCTTCCAAACCAATGAGATATTTTTTGTATAAGATATATTAGTTACATAAATAGGAGTAGCTTACTAAAGTAGAGCACTCATTTCTTTCATAATTTAAGTACATTTATCACGTTTATAATGAAAAACTAACATATATTGATAAATCGTAATTTGTAACAAAAGTACATGCAGATACTTATAATAACTTTTTTGTACTCCAGCCAAAAATAGAATTACCAGAATATGGAAGCGATGACGATTGTTCTCCAAAGCAGGAGGTTAACACACTGCCAAGTCGTTTCCTTAGCCTTGATGGTGGCATGGAGGTTGTGCCATCGTATCCGCCTTCTTATCAAGGTAATTATATGTTTTTAGACGTTTTAGATATTCAAAGTTAATGAAGAACTCAGTTATATAAGAAGAATATATTAGGTGTGTATTCTAAAGATAATAATTTCTAATCAAAAAATGTTTTTAGGAGGAGGAGCAGGGGGAGGAGGAGGTGGTGGAGGCGGAGGTGGCGGATCATTGGAAGGAGGACAGCCTGGACCATCACATGCCAGCAATATGGAGCTAAATCAAGAACAACAAGGTAAGTGACCACCCATCCCAACCCTAATTCTTTGGTAGTTGCGAGCACCATTACAAACAGCAACAACCTAGCCGATCATGTCGGAGAGAATTTTTTGGATGCGAGTAGAAACATGGAAGGAGAAGGGGAACCTCGGTTTGAAATGGTAAGCTCGTGTAGCTCGGTAGCTCTTGCTAGGCGGTAGGAGAGAGAAAGTGAGAGAAAGAGATCGAGTGAGAAAGAGAGCGAGAGAAAGAGAGAGAGAGGGAGGAAAAGAAGGAAAGAGAGAGACATTTGACACTCGGAGGCGATCTTTTGATAATATTATCCAGGCGGAGTGCAGTTTGCGGCTGTATGTGTGGAGAAAGTCAGCTGCGTGTACATACTCGGGCTCTACCTGTCCATTTTGTTTGCCAGAGTTGGAGGGTATATCTCAGAATTATAGTTCAATAGTAATAGTTAGTTAATTCAGTTAGAAGTTGCATATCTCAAAATTTATCGAGAAAAAGTTCTTTACATTTTAAATTATGATCAGCTCTAGTTTTAAAATAAATGTAAATTTATTCTTTTTGAAATGAGAAGACCTGAAGGTTTTTATCAATGTCTTAACAGTTTAAATCATACTTTCTCAAATTCGAAAGATTTGCACATTAAAGAAAAAATAAAGCGAAGGAAGTTTTGAATACTTTTTGAAAGACAAGGAATGAATTCCCTCCGTCTGGTAAACCTGTCCGTTGCTTCCACGTTTTCCGTTCTTGTCCGTTAGATGACACGCCAATTAGTTTTTATTTATAACAAAATTTTGGATATTTTGTAAACTTAATAATTAATGTTAATTTTTACTATATTTATGATGCTCATAAATTCTATAAATTCTAACATTTATGATATATATTTTATTTTTGTCTAATTGGCGTGATTTGTTCTATGTATCCATGTATATCTCACGGCAGAACACCCTACTTTGACATATATATACAACAAAGCAAGAGCTTGATGCTATAATATACTTAAGCTTTTCGGTCAAGGTCTGTGTTTGATCACTGTGTTGTAATTAAAAAAAACTTAATATCATTGGCTTCACTAATTGTTTTATAATTCATTATAAATATTTTACAGTATAAATTACATATTTAAAGAAGTAAAATACTCATAATTGATGGTTTCATAAAAACATTCAACATATCAAAATATCATATTACAAAATACATGTCCATAAATTACAATTGTTAAATTTGAATAAAGGATTTAATATTACAGTAAATCTTTATTAGCAACTGTTAGTAATTTGTAGTCGCGTACTATAAAATTTAATTATTATCATTGACTCTGTTATCATCAATGATGTAATTCATAATCTGTAAGAAAAAGTATTTCAAACAGATATATTGATTTGAAAATGATTATTAATAATGTCACGATATTGATGAGTAGTAATTGAAATATTTCAGTACTAGCAGATTCAAGTATAATGCGAAAAATATTCAACACGAAAGGGTGTTATTGTCGAAGAGCAGTTATTGAAATGTCGGAGGATACTGCGCGAACTCTCACGCCTCATATACCCAATAACAACACGCTTACCATTTGTCTCCGATGTGTGTACGTTGGTGATGCGCGACATCGTAGTGCGCACGATAGGTAGCAATGGGATCAACCAATACGATTTCCCAACCTTAAAAATTTATGATATTGTAAAACTATGAAAAATTCATATAATTTTTTCGTTACAATACTTAAAATATTTTTGCAATAATCCAATATATGAAGATTCATTTAAGTTATCCTCCATATTGAAATTGTAATAAAATTCTTTAGACATTCAAAGTTGAATTTAAATAACGTAAATAAAACATTCTAAATATCATAAATATTAAAGGGGAAAAGATTTTAATAAAAAAAAGTACATGATTACCATAGAAATTAAATTTGAACAATGACAATTTAAAGAATGTAATTGAAATTTCAAAGCGATCCCATTGTTAAACTAGATAGAGCGTACAACAATCGTGCAGCTAGGGTTTCTCAGCTGGTTGTTGCTGTCCGGTGGTGGCTGGCAAATCGGAGACCCCACCCATAAATCCACTCAACAAAACAAAAAGAAAAAAGAACAACTTCCTTCTCCGTGCTGCCTCTACCGGGTTAGAGCAAGTTGTGTGTGTGTTGCAGCTGACCTACGCAAACTGCACTCGCTGGACCCACGCCCCTGTCCTGTCTGCAACCGCATGTACAGTAACTTGTCGAACCTGCGTCAGCACATGCGCCTCATCCACAACCCCCAGAGTGTCACATGCCCCCTTTGTAAGAAGCCATTCAAGACCGAGCTCTACCTGAAACGCCACCTGGTCAGCTTCCACGACCTAGGCATCACAGAGAGACACCGTCAAGAAGAACTCTACCAACAACAGCAGCCAAAGGCACAACAGCAAACTGGATCGCAAACACATCTGCAAATTCAGGCGCAGCAAACAGACAATATCAAACCCCTTGTGCCCAGAGTTTCTACAGAAGAGGGCACAACCGCAGTGACTCTGGAAAATAAATCAAGAGCATTTCAAGATGGTGCTTATGAGGTCAATCAGACCAGTGTTGAATCAAAGCACTTTCAGAGCAACATGATGCAATTCGATGCAGCATACCACTAATGCGCCTTAGTTTTTTTGGCCCATTTGTGATAGTTTTTTGGTTGAGTAGAATTAATGCCAGTTATTTCTGGCAATCATAAACTCTTAAGGGAGTCGAGCGTGATCTTTCCAAGAAAGACCAAGGTGCGGCAGAGAGATTAAGAGATTGTGCTGTAGTGGAAAATGGAATTTAACCAAATTTTTAATGCATGAACAGTAACATAACACTAATGTTGGATAAACATTTTTTTAATCTGATTTTAAGAGCATATTAATCGAAAAAGAACATTTTCATTTTAATTTTGACAGAAACTCTTTATTTGTTTCTGTTCACAGCAGACATAATAATTTAAATATAATTAGGTATTTAAAGCAATGTTTAATTGAAATATCATACATTTCAATTTCGTCTTCTTTTTGTATCTTTTTAGATACAAAACAAAGTTATTTGAACATTCTAATATGCTTTAACAATTTTTTTAAAGCAGAGAATATTTGTAAAACTATTTGAGCTTTTTATATTTTTAAAATGATTCTTTTGTTCAATGAGAAAATATGTTTTACAGACTTAAGATGGAGTAATTGCTGAAAATATTATTTTCAAATTCCATACAGCACAGTGCTCAAAATATTAGTCTCTCGCAGCATCTTGCAGTAATTGATAAAATAGATGTCCTTGACAAGAAGAGTGACAAGATGTCAAGGACAACTCGCAAAAGGTGCCGTGCCTATTCGTCGTCGTAAGGAAAAGCGAGCGTATTCCTTAAAAAATACCACGAAAGAAACTACAAACAATTGCCGCAAGTGGAGCAGCCATCCCACCTCGTACTGATTATTCCGCGAGCCAGGATAACTTGTTGTTTTATTTGATGCTATACAGTGTTATATAAACTACAGATATTTACAACGATATTATATTCTTACAGAGGATTATATTTACTTTATTGATTACGTCACACGACTGGGTGCAACGCACAGAAACTCCCAGGATGACGTACGAACATATTATAATATATTTTTCACCACGTAGCAGTTTAACGGTGCGATAGACAGCCAACCGATTTTACAGCTCAAGCAGATTTACAGAGGATTTATTATTGACAGTTATCGATGGGAAACCACCGTGATGCAGCAGATTGAATTTAATATATTATAAGAGGCTTGTGTCTGAGATGGCTTTTCTTACATACATAGAATTCTTAAGTAGAATTCTGTTACATGCTCTAATGTGATATTACAGAGCTATACAACTCACTTACGTTTCTTTTATATTTATGAACTTTCATTTTTCTTAGTAATTTTCTATTTTAATGTCATCGTAAAGTATTTGTAGCGAGCACTTTCTTTTTATTGCAGAAGTATTTTTAGCTTATATTACTCGAGAGAATTTATTAGTCATAAAGCATTATTATTATAACTTTGCTACTGAATTCAGTATTCACTTTTCACAATACGAACATGCAGACAACAAATATTTGTCATCCAACAATTAGTAGTTCGAAATCTTTTCTTTTCAGCTAAGAATTTTAATATTATGGACATTCATTTTCAAGATTCTGATAAAATTTCTGATAAAATTTCTTTTTTTTTTATAAAAAAATCTTTGTATTCTTCTTTCGTGAGATTTTGAGTTCAGCTAATGTCAACTACATTGAATTTTACTATTGTTATGATTTCGCTTTGGAGAATTTTATGTTTCAAATATTTGTCCTTTTGAGTATTCCTTTGTGCAGATAGTACTATAACATTTTAAGATACTGATTAATATCGCATACATTTTTATACGCAGATTCACCTTTGTTGAGCAGTATCTTAACAATTTTATAGTCTGCAATGGTAAACCTTAGAGTAGCGTCCAACGTTTGGCTTACGACTTGTTCGACATTAGTTCGCAAGGAAATTTTTCAATAAATTCACGTAGACGCATTGATTTGATGATACGAAGAAGATGGAGCCGTCTCAGATACCGCCGAACTCCATAGCCATAGTACCACACAGTACAACTCAGGATCTTTTATATTATATTTTACAGATGACAATAGTTCCGTGAGCGCGATGTGTTCGATAAATTTTTCTCGGCATGCCGAGTCTAGGACTTCCAATAATTTCATTCCATCGGAATTTCAATATTATTTCACTCTCAGTATCTTCAGAGTCAATATGAAATGATTGTCTTCGAAATGATTTTTTTTATGTATCTTCTCTAATGGTGTTTATTGAAATTATTGACCGAGTGATTATTAATTAGTGTTCAAGCGATTTTGTTGTTCTGTTGCGATTGCGACTCGATTGTAGTTAGGCTTATAATAATCAAATTATTGAGAATCGTCGTCTAGACTCCCGTGTTCGAGGAAAATCGAAATGTTTCGCGAATTAATCGCGCCGTTCACACAGGCTCCTTACCTCACGATTTACAATCAAATCACAGATGCAGCTATATATTATTATAATAAGTATATTTACATACCGTTTTACAACAGTGCCGGGGTCGCAACGACTGCGACCGATCAAATTTTTAACTGAAGCTACACAAGCATTAACCACGAAAGAGATGGGAAAAACAAACTAATTCCAATTTTTTCGTCTCGTACGTGGACAGGTCTTTTTTTTATCGTTACGCACTTTTTCCGAGGATTCTTCTATTCTTCTTTTTTCCAACGCGTGGAACAGAGAGAGAGCTTCGTGCCCAGCGCATAGTTTTTACTCAATCTAAGATTAGAATATAAATGTTGCATATCATGTTATTAAGATTGTTGTACAGACAGCCTGTTGCAAACCTCGGTCTGTCGATCCTTTCTCGATCATGATTTACAGTTTCACTTCAAGACATCCTGATTTCTCCAAAATCCGACTTATCGATTTCGTATCGATCTCTTATGCGAACGATTTATATTCACGTGCATAATTGTGTCTTTATGTTGGTGAAAATTCTTGAACAGCAATATGCAAAAATGTCATTTAAATTTCAAGCGATCTTTACAAAAATTCAAGTAAATGCCGTTTTTGTTATTTCAAAAAAAGCGAACAAAGTCTTCGAATTTTATAAAAGATTTTCGGTGTTCAAACTTTCTTGTGTCTTTATCGAATTTGACGAACACCATCGTTTCTAAAGGACATTTATCGTTATTAGATAATCACATCGATTCATAAAAATCTATTGTTTCTTTTTAGTAATCACGTGCACACTTGTTTGGTTATTTAACAGAACTTTTATAGTTGTTTTATAATTGATCGCAGTGATGCAACTGAAATTACGGTTTTATTTGTGAATCACTTCGGTTTCTAAGTTTAGACGCGATCGATCGATCGATTGGATTTACGGACCGAGGCTCATATACATATACATATATCACACAATAAGCAGAATCAAACAGCGAACCGCAATGATAGAGAAATAGAATGGATAAAGCAATGAACCGCATAAACCGGGATTCGGAACAGAAAGAAAATGAAACAAAGACAGTTTACAGGGATACCATTTTTCTAACTTGCAATCTTTCGCTGGGCATTAAAAGTGATATACCGATCAGCCGATTAGTTGATTGATTGATTGATTGATTCATTGAAACATTCCAACAGAGTAATACAGTTTTTCCATTTCTCCAAACCGAAACCGCTGAATAATCAACTGACTAACAGCAAGAGTGAAAACGTTGAAAGATAAACAGAAATTCATTGTCTAGGAAATGTCTCAGTCAGGAGAAAGCACCTTTTCGCAACATTTTCAAAGTCCTCTTCATTTTTTACTTACATATATGACTCTTTTTCTTCTCATGGGTGGGAGATTTGAAAATTGGAAAGTTGAAACGCTTCGTCGCGATTACGAGGTGAACGTGGGAAATATTCAGACAAAACGGAAATCAGAGAGTATCGGATTATACTTTCACAGATTTGTAGTACTTAGGCTTCGACATGAGTAAGCTTGAAATATTCGATCGAAAGCGCATAACGGAGCATAGAAAAATTTTCAATGAAAATTCAAACGATCGTGCATGGAATCATTCACGAACTTTCTAATTTTCGATTCAACTATCTTTTATTAAATCAGCCAAACAAACGAAAAGAATAAGTACATACATTCGACGAGTAGATACGGATATTAACATTCCTGTGTTTCATCGATCGATTCATTTGAACTGTTATTGATTTTTACTATTATCATGATCATTATTATTACTATTATTATTATTATTATTATTATTATTATTATTATTATTATTATTATTATTATTA